CAGTTTTCTTAATATAAAAAAAAAAAATGAATCCAACCAGTATATCTGGAGTATGAAATAATTATGAGCAAACATGTTTGTCTCAACCCTGTCCCACATCTAATCAATTGTTAGGTGGCATGAAGTTGATTCCAACTCATAGGGACCCTATCTTATTACAACAGAACAAAACACTGCCCAGACCTGTGGCAGCCTCAGAGTTAAGTTTAAGCCCACTGTTACTCCCACCGTGTCAGTCCATCTCACTGAGGGTCTTCCTGTTTTTTACTGACCCTCCACTTTACCAAACATCATGTCCTTTTCCAAGGACTGATCCTTCCTAACAACATGTTCAAAGTCTAAGAAATGATGTCTCACCTTTGCTTCCAAGGAGCAATCCAGTGCATGTCTTCCAAAACAGGTTTGTTTGTTCTTCTGGCGCTCCATGGGACTTTCAATATTCTTCACCAACACCATATTTCAAACATTTGATTTCGCTTGATCCTTTTCATTATATGATCATGTTAAGAATCCATCTATCCCTATTTTCAAGAATTAAAATCAAGAATGAATTCTGTACATCTTGAGGTCCTGTTGTTATTGTTAAGTGCCATTGAATCATTTCAACCCATAGCGACCCTGTATAGGGTTTCCAAGGAGCAGCTGGTGAACTTGAACTACCGACCTTGTGGTTCAGAATCAACTTTGAAGTCCAGTGCATTAACCCACAGCACCATACCAAGACTCCCTAACTATTAATAAATAAGAATTAATGGGGGCCAGCCCTGGTGTGGTGCTGCAGGATAATGCACTGGACCACAAGATCAGTTTGAACTGTTTCCTCAGAAACCCTCTACAGGGTCGCTATGAGTCAGAACCGACTCGACAGCACTTAACCATAATAACATGGTATATTATGGTAGTTCTTTTATTTCACTTTTTATTGTTAATTGGTTGAAGGTTTACAGAGCAAATCAATTTTCATATATGTTTTACTTGTTATTGATTGCAATTTCCATAATGAAACATCACTTAATCCACTTCCTGCCTGTGTTCCCCACTTCCTTCCTCCTCCTTTCCTATCTCTTCCATCCTTTTGAGGTATGGATGCTCTGTGGACTTATGTGCTGGACTGCAAAGTCAGTTTAAACTGCAAGGTCAACAGTTCAAGCTCATCAGCTGCTCCTCAGAAACCCTCTACAGGGTCACTGTAGGTTGAAACGACTCAATGGCACTTAATAACTTGGGCAAAAACTACTCTTTTAATCTCAAATGGTTGAATATCCTAGAGTGTGTACCTCCCTAATGTTCCCCTTATAGATCTACCTATTATTTGGCTTAAAACAGAACCACGGGGGTAATTCAGTTCTAGGCCTGAAGTGTGACTAAGTGCCTTAATCTCAAGGGACCCACTAATCTCTATCCAACCAGTACAATGAGTCTTTATGAGTTTGGATTTTATTTCACCGTTTTTTCTCCCACTCTATCCTGTATCTTCTCTTTCAGAGCAGTCAGCATTGGTAGCCAGGCTCCATCAAATGAATTCTTTTGGTCTCAGGGTTGTGGAAGATGAGGTTCACAGGTCCATTAGTTCACTGAAGTAATTATGAGGGGGCTTCAAAAAGTTCATGAAAATTTTAAATCAAAAGGTAACGGAGAGTGACTTCCGGCAAGATGGTGGACTAGGCAGACACTACACGGACCCTCAACAACAAAGATAGGGACCAAATGAAACAGACACAGATGAAAATCTTGGAACCCTGAACTTCACAGAGGAAAGGTCAGAGACGTGGACGGAGTGCTAGCTGGGAAGAGAAACTGAGCAGGGAATGAAAGAGAGGGAGACAGACTGGTGAACAGCTGGCCTGGTATGAGTCGCTTTTGGCAACAGAAAGAGGCCTGGGAGAGAGAGCACATTCACACAGGCGATGGAAAAGGTGTGATTCCTTCTTTTTTCCCACCCTCCCTTGGTGACCAGAGGTGTGGCCAGCTCTCACCTTCACCCACCCCAATGCAGACCCTGCTCTCTGGGAGTTCCGAGCCACTTGGTTGGGAAGCATACCAGTGTGAGGCGGGGGCTGACTGAAGTATTTTGATGTCCGGATTCAGAAGATATCGGCTGTAAACCTACAGAACCCGCAGAACCACCAGACCAGCATTTAACCAGTTACCCTAACCCCCACTGTCCTGTGGTCCTAATAGATATTGAAACCAGCGTCATCAAGGGCCTCCGTGAATTACCACCACACTGAATACCCTGAACATAGACAACACCGAGCCCAATGAGAACTTCATCTAGAACCACAAACTGCTCCTCAGGGGCACCTTGGCTTGCAAGAGCCCCCAGATCTTTCTCCTCGCTGGGTCCAGCAGTGGCACTGCACTCTTTTTTACCTTTTTGTTGTTTATTCTTTCTCCTCCTTCTCTTTCCATTCCCTTGGATTTTATCCTTTCTACTTCCTCTTTATTTCTCCTTTTCTTCTTTCTTATTTCCTCTCGTCTTCCCCTCTCCCCGCCTTCTGTTATCTCTTCAATACTCTCTACTCTTTTTCCTGGTATGGCACTGTAGGATCAGCACTGAACTGCAAACCACAAGGTAGGCAGTGCATACCCACCAGGTGCTCCTCGGAAACTCTACACAGGGTCGCTGAGTCAGAACTGACTCAATGGCTATTAATAACAACAACTCTTTCTTTTGGATTCCTAGGGTAGCGCTGTAAGATCAGCACAGGACTGTGAACCACAGGTCAGCAGTTCAAGCACACCAGCTGCTCCTCAGAAACCTTATACAAGGTGACTGAGTCAGAACCGACTCAACAGCACTTAATAACAACAACTCTTTCATCGTTCCCCTCCCTGGTTTTTCTAGATGTTTTGAAAATTTCTTCCTTTTATTTATACTCTTATTTTTCTCTTCCATTTCCACGTCCTTTTTTCTGGTTGCTGTCTGGTTTTATTTATTTTTTCTCTTTCCATTGTTGGTTCCCTGTTTGTTCTTTTTTGTTTCCTCATGTATGAGTGTGGGAGGGGTCTTCTCGTTCCACCCGACAGGAGACAACAACCATGTCCAAGCAGCCCAGCCACAACCATACCCTCTACATCTCCACTCCCTGGACAAGAGCCAACAGCAGCTCCTCTACCAACAACAGACAGCAGCCAACACCAGTCAAACCCATCCTACCCTGAGGTGCATGAACGAGAACAGTCACGGGTTTCCATTCTCTGACTACACCCACACGAGACAGTCGCAGAAAGCCTAAGAAAACATCAACATACAATCATCAATTAACTACAAATGCAACAACTCAATTAACTACAAATGCCACAACCCACAATGCCAGGGAAACAACAGTTTCAGTTCACATGAATAAACAAGAGAGGGCTACCACGTGCCCAGTGAAGGAGGCTTCCTGCAGAGTCTCTGCATTACATAAGACTATAAGTGGAATCCTGAACCTCACCCAGAATCTTCAGAGGTGGGAAATTTCTACTTGAAAGAGCAGGCAGACCAGATGGGAGGGCTGATCACCTTTTCTTGGTAATTATAGTCAATGGTATGGGTGCTGTGTGATCCCTGGGCAAGAAAAGCTGACTGCCATCAATCCACAGCCCCACTGAGCTCAGTTTACCAAAATGGTCAGTTTTGCCAAGCTGTTCAAAATGGCCAAGTGCTGTTGCCTGCTATTGGCATATCTTATTTCAGCTTTATTTCAAATTTTACTGTCAATTTCTGTCTTTCTTTAACAGTTATGATTGCTTGTATTTACTATTCTATTTGGTTTCAATGCTTAATCCATCCCCTTTTGTTTATAAATGTAAACGTCTGGTCTATAACGATACTCCCTAAGTCCTGCTGTGCTGAGAGTCTGGAACTGCTATCCCACCACGAGTAGCTCGCCTTTCAAAGAAAGATTGAAAGAACAGCAGTAGACAAGAGCAGAGACACACTCCAAATCAATTTTGATCAATCTTTACTCTTTTCAGGCTCATGTATGTTAACAAGTAGAACCAAGACCATAATACACAATCAACCGATTAAACTGTCACCGAATACTTATTTGGCAAAGTACATCCCTGATAACGGTTTTACTGACTGATTGATTGACTGATGGATAAAATAACAGATATTTATTTTTTGGAGTGGGGACAGGGTTGATCGTCATCTAAACCTTCAAACAGCAGTGGTTATTTTGCACAGAAGAGATGACGACAAGTCTTATAGTGCAAAATTCTCATCTCACCCAACCCAGCTGACCGTGTTCCCTCCTAATCCTGGAAGGCTGCACTATCCAAGAGACAACTGAGCACTGAAAATTGGGACTAGTTCCAGTTAAGATAAACATAACCCGAATTTTAAAGACTCGTTATTTCAGATTTAGACATTGCGTAAAAATAAAGTATACTAATAATGGATCCTGTTTTACATAATATGTATTTAACGTGGCTACTAAACAATTTTCCACGACACGTGGCTCCACTTTCATTAGATAGCGGTGCTCTAAGGGGATTTCCTCACCCTACTAGCTTCCCTGCCCTTCGGTACATTTTCTGAGATCATCCACGAATGACCATTTGAAGACAGCAGCACCATGATGCCAGTTTAGTGTTAGCATTTATTTTAAAAATACACAAAATAGAAATTGTTTTTACACCAAAGTGTGATAACCTCGCTTATACATTGTTCTGTACTTACCTCGTTTTGTTCGCAGCCTTATGCAAACAGCAAGAACAAACGGATTTGACTCTAATTTCTGCTGCGGTTCACGTAAACAGTTGAGACTGCTACATAAAATAGGTGGTTTTAAAAGGTAACGTGGTCACAGAAACCCAACTGTAAAAACCATTTAATTTGGTTTAAGGAAATTGGCAGAAGTCTTACTAGATAGACAATCCAAGACTAAATATTGGCTTCTAGGTATTTTAAATATTAAAAACCTTGAGATTTTATTCACCTTGTAAACATAACTTAGACCTTGTTGGCATTAAGTTTAAAAAGTAAAATATTAAACCATGATTTTCACCATCCTGCCGGTGTCATTATACACTCTCTTTATTGTGAGAATGAACCAAATAAAAAGCAAAATACATCAGGAATTTCAAACTGTACTGCAAAGAAGGTCCCGGCTGGTTCTCTTCTGGGAGTGAGTACCTTACACAGACCCTGCAGTCCGCTGAGAAGGACAGACCACCCCGTCAGTCAGACAGTGCAGTGCCCAGGCGGCGTCATGTCAGTCCCTCTCACCCAGTGTTTCTTCTGGAAGCCAGAGTCGAGACTCCACTTCTCCCTCTGCTGGCTCTGTGGTCCTTCCTTGGGCTCCGATTCATTGGGGCTGGTGGTTTACTATTATGGTCAAGACTGTACTGTCCCTTTAAGGTACCACATGCCACCATAGCTTACACAGCAGTCCTAGGAGGAGAAACCGAGTAAGGGCACATTTTAGCAGGCAGTCACTACGTTCTTTCCAGAGAGCTAAAACTCGAAGTAACATTAATGGATACAATGCTAATGGCAAATCAAGATCTACCTAAAATGATAGTGTGGTCACTTCAGTGTTTTGGCCAGGGATGTTTTAAGAGAAAGGGACTCTAAATGAATGTGCTTCGTAAACACAAAATACAAAAGTTGACCAGAACAAAGTCCAATCAAAGGTGTGTGAAAAATACTGGTACTAGACTAGGGTCCTTTCAATACACTCATTCTTATTGGCCAGAGCAAAAGCTCAGAGCCTTTGGATATTTCAATGCACAAAACAAATACCTTTAGCACTTTATCCACTTCCTGTTTACTTAGATCTTCTCCACACTCTTGAGTCAACCGAGACTGGATCATGTTCCGGCGGACCCGGTAGTTTTTGGAAAATATTTCAAGTAAAACCTGTCGGTGCTTTAAAAACACGCTGTTATTGGAAAGAGTCACTGAAAACAGAAATCTCTCCAAACAAGAAGCCCAAAGCTTGGGCAGAAGAGCCCCACACTGCCATCTATCAGTCTGGCCAATCTGCCTTCTCTCTCCAGACCCCACTAAAACGATGTAGAGAAACACAAGTACACGCCCACCAAAGCAAAAGAACAGATGAAAGGATGATGACAAAAAACAGGTATGAGAACGGATTTCACAAGCAGGGAAAGACAATCAAAAGGCCATAAGAAGGTTGAGCTGGGAAACATGAACTTTTATATATATTTTTTTATAACAATAAAAATAGAGTGCCTGAAGACAGGAAGAGGAATGAGAAGTAGTTGACACTATAATGAAGGCATGGCCACAACAGGATTTGAGGAACGGTAGCGTAGTGGTTATGAAAAGGGCTGCGAACCTTAAGGCCAGTAATTCGAAACTACCAGCTGCTCCGCGGGAGAAAGATGAGGCATTCTGCTCCCGTAAAGATTTACAGCCTCAGAAACCCTGCACAGGGTCGCTATGGGTCAGAAACGACTCGACAGCACTTAACAACAACAAATTACTCCTCAAAGAAAAATGAAATGGAAAGGATGGAAGGTAGTTGAAATTTCCCAAAGGCAGAAATGGTGTTAAATGAGAAAAGAATGGTCTAGCGTGTCCACCATCTGACCTACGGATTACAAATCTATAGAGGAAAAAAAAGAGAGCGAGAAAATGATTTGCCCTTAAAATTCTAGTCCCAAGTAGTAGCTGAGGAAAGTCATTTGAAGACATGGAAAAAATGCAAACCACCTCTGTCCTCTGACAAAAGACTCAGTGAACAGTTGCCACTGGTGAGGCTGAGGCCGTGGGGGAGAGGCTGCAGGGATTCAACCTCAAGAAGGACGTCACTGACCATGTGTGTCTCTTCAAGTGGAAATGACAGAACGTAACCCCAGTATATACGCCGTTCTCCACAAACTGTTTGAGGTCTCTTTGTATATTATTATTGGATTCTGCAGAGCAGATTTCCAGTCAGGATATCATTTTTGTTGTTGTTTTAAGTGCTGTTGAGACAGTTTCGACCCGTAGCGACCCTGTATAGTTTCCAAGGAGCAGCTGGTAAATTTGAACCACCAACCCTGCAGTCTGACACGCATTACCCCACAGCGCTACACCAGGACTCCAGGATACTATAAACAATGATAATTAGTTTAACTACAAACATATCCCTTCTCCCAACATGTTGCTATTGAGTTGATTCAGACCCACGGCGGCTCTGTACAGGGTTTCCAAGGAGCAGCTGGTGAACCTGAACCGCCAACCTTGCAGTTCACACAGCTTTGCAGTCTGGCGCATTAACCCACCCACCCCAAACCCAAACCCATTGCTGTGGAGTCAACTCCAACTCACCCTACAGCACAGGGCAGAACTGCCACAGAGGGTTTCCAAGGCTGTAAATCTTGACTGAGGCAGACAGCCACATCTTTCTCTTATGGGTTCAAACTGTTGGTCTCTGGGTCAGCAACTGAGTGCTTAATGTTTAACCCACTGCACCATGGGAGCTCCTCCCAACACAGCTGAAAATAAACCCTCACCTTCAGGTGTTTAAGAGAAGTCTGGGATGAGGCAGACGAGACAGAACTGTTTTCCATTAAGCTTTCAGTCCTAACTGAGTTTTTAAAAAGCTAGAGACTCCTTACACTGGAAAAAAAACACCCAACAAGATCAGAGTAATCTGAAGTGTGGAAACTCAGGTGCCACCTATTGTGGTAGAAACTTGCTCGGGAGATTGAGCAAAGCCTCTGCCCCTTCTCCTCTCCGCCACTCAGCTCCCTTCTAGGAGGCAAACAGAGACTTCTGCTTATTCTCTCACCACTGTAGTAGGGCAGGGACAATGACAGACTGATGAGTTTTAGGAATCAAATCATCATTTTAAAAGTTTGGGCAAATTCAGGATTTATATGAAACTTCCAGACTGCAAGGTATATGACAAGGTCATTCCACTGTTTGTTAAAACGACCCATTTCCCCCACCGAAAACCCTGAGAAACCCTGGATTCTTGCTGCCAGAGACCCCCCTGGATAATGAGGCTCACCACTGGTTTCTTAAGCAGCTAGGAACTGGTCATCTAGCAGGTATTCTAGAAAGGCAAATACCTCGTACACTAACCGGTACCCACTAAACAAGGGCATTTCTGCCATCGGAGCTTGGCTAAGTGCTTGACCGCCGTTGGACGTACAGTTGAGAAACTCTCTGGGGTGTTTCTAGTCTGTCCCCCAGGGTCACACTGAAGTGGAGCTGACTCGGTGGCAATGGGATGAGTTTTGTTGTTGTTTTGGTCCTGGGGGTTGGTTGATTTTTAAGAAGGTGATTCGGACATCTTTTCTCAGCTGCTTCGTTTTGAGTTGGCTGACGCCCTCCGAGCAGTCAACAGCTGCTGCTTGTCTAACCCTCACCCACATCATCGATCTGCCTCTGAATGACGAACTGACCAGTAGAATTAAATGCTCAACCATTCTATTTGCAAAAGCCCTGGCCAACATCAACATTGGGGCTGGTGGCCCTGCCCGGGGAGGCAGCCCACCCTGACCACTGCTGCTCCAGCTAAGAAAGTGGAAGGAGAGAAGGAAGAACCAATGATGGGCTTGGTCTTTTTGATAAAAATCCCTTTTATAACATGTTCACTAAAAAGCTAAATCCTTCAAAAGACAAAAAGAGGCGATTCTGATACAGCCCTCAAATGGGCATTTGGGAACCACTGGCTTAGGGTAAGGAGTCCTAGTGACTCAGTGGCTAAGCGCTCTGCCCTTGAGAAGAAACATGCAGCAGTCTGCTCCCACAAAGACTTAGCGCCTTGGACACGCTATGGAGCAGTTTTAATCTGTTCTACAGGGTCGGTAGGGACTGCAATTCAACTTGATGGCAACAGGTTTAGGTTTAAACGACAGAAACTTGGATCCAGAATATTTTAAATTGGGAAGGGCTAGAAAATCTGCCACATACATGACTACCCGCTAGCTGAGTGTTGTCTTTCCAAAGTTCTCACCTCTTCAGGTACACTTCCCTGCTCCCAGGGCAGATGGCAGCAGAGGTTAAAACTCACCTGATCGCTCCTCTCTCCAGACTCCCAGAGGGCAAACACCTTCTGTTCATCGGGGGAAGCAGCAGTCTGGGGGGGAAACTAAGCAAGGCCCAGGAGTGAGTCGGTTACTGGTCTTCTGCCCACGGGCTCACCCACGCTGCCCTGCCCCACCCACCAGGGCTTCACAGGGCTTCAATGGCAATGCATACAGCTGTGGCAGGCAATTTGGGGGAAGTTCAGTCTGAAAACCCAGTGTCCTCCAGTCTCATCCCTCCCCCAGAACTCTGTAGCGTACTCACTCCGAGGGGTCCTTTCTATCATTACCCACAAAGGACCGCGTCCTGCCGGACTCCCAAGCAGTCCATGCCACTTGGTTCAGCAGGGTCTAAAGGTGGGCCAGGATAAGGGGGAGCCTGGACCATGGGGTTCGAGTCCTCCATAACACAAGTAACTATAATGGTGACCACCATGTGGGGCTTTAGTATACCTTACTTCCGCCCAGGTTTCTAATAAGCCAATTTGACAGGATCTGGAAGGAAGCGAGGTGTCATGCCTATTGTCTATGAGGAAAATTCAGTTGACTTAATGGCCATGGTTATACCGCTAGAAAGCAACAAAACCAGAAGCTAAACTCAAGTCTTTGCGAGTCTCCTCTCTCTCCCTGGGTCTCACTGTTGTCCTGGGTACAGTTGGGAGAGGGCTGGACAGCTCAGACACCATTATGCCAGGCAGGCACCCAGGTCAGGGTCAGGAGAGGGAGATCAATGAGAACTCCCGAGGGGGTTCTAGCTAGAGGAAGAAACATGGCAATCAGAGATGCAGGGGAAACCCGAGGGAGCCCACTAGATCTCCCCGCGCTTTCTCCCTTGGCCTGGCCCCCTGAGGATTACTGGAGCCTTTTGGATAAGGGCAGCTCCAGAGAAAGGAACCCACCGAGGAGATCTCCCCAAGGAGGCTCCCTGCCACCAAGAGGACCAGGGTCTGCCAGGAAGGCCACATCCCCTGAGACTGCCTGACCCCAGGACACCTCTCATCCTTGTTCCTATTCTTCACATCCACAGGGATTGGCCTTGGCCTCAGATCATCATCCAAGGTGCTTCTGACCGTGGCAGTGGACAGCATCCCTTGGTAAGAGAGGACCACTGGCTGGGCAGAGTCCAGAGGACAGAACAGCCTCCCTTATGTGCAGCCTGCTCTCTGTGCCCCGAGACACTCTCTGATCTGACATAACTCTCTACTTTGGAGCCACTTCCAATAAAAGGGAAAAAGGCTTGGAGTCAGACATGCCAATCACTAGCTCTAAGAGAGGCCTGCCAAAATTGGCCCAGCTGGGGGGTTTGATTGGGAGGCTCTGGTGAGGGGCACAGTTCATCTTAGTTGCAGGAGAGGGAACGTGAGACTTGGACGCATGATACTGAATCTCCCGTTCCAGCCCTAGTGTCTCCTGGGTAAGTGGCCTTCCACTACGTGGTCTTCATCCCATGGACTGTTTCATCAACTGCAGGCGTCAGGGAGGACCGGATGATATTAGAAACGGAATAATTTTGAAAACGGCAAAGTGAATGCGAATGGGTGAGACGCTCTCAGTAGCAAATGAGCAAGAAGGCAAGGAAAGGTGCTCTCCAACACACCTCACTCAGCCCCCACCCCACATCCTCCTGCCAGGAGACAATGAACAGTTTCCAAAGAAGCTGCAGTGCCCAAGGTCACACAAAACCAAGGTCATAGACCCCTTGAAGTTCCCATGCCCTCAAGCCTCTACACAGCTGTTTCCCCGATTTGGGTAGGTGCAGCTCTCCGTGCCCCGGGCTTTCTTGAGAGTTGCAGGGGCCTCGTGGTGCTGCCTACCCCCAAAGGCACACATTCTACTTACAGGCACCAGTATCTGTTTGCAGCCGGCGGCCAGCACCGTGTCCTGCAGCATGCGGTCTGAGATGCCACTGAAGAGTGTGTGGCCAGGCGGCAGGCTGGCCAAGTGCATGTTAAAGAGGCGCTTGAGTTCGCTCAGTGTGAGCACAAACTGTTTCTGGAAGGTGGCCTCCACAAAGGCCCTCAGTTCCCGGGCTACAGGGCTGTGGCCACCGCCTGGGGACGGGTGCCCGTTGAAGCTGTCGCCTCCCGCTGCCCGCCCAGCAGGCAGCCCATTGGCCATACTGCTGTTGGGGCCACTGCTGGGTGTGGTGTCCATAGGCTCCTCCTCAGGCTCATTGTCCTCATCCTCGTCACTCATGGGCTCTTGCTTGACGTGCACGGCAGGCAGGAGGGCGAGGTCCTGCAGCTGCTCCTTCCTGCGCTGTAGCTCGCGGGTCAGCAGCGCATAGTTCTGTTGCACCTGGGTTCTGGCGGCCTGGACCCGCTGATCCCCAGAGACCAGCCCTGTAGGCACTGTGGGGAGAGGGACAGCCCAGCTCAGCGACCCCTGCTGCCAAGGCTCCTCTGCCCTGGGCTCTTCCCTGCATCTCCTCCCAGCAGGCCAGCTGGGGCAGAAGCAAGTGCCTGTCCTTAGCTCTCCCCGCACCTTACTCAGGAGGAGAAGGTAGCCCAACAATAAGGTAGAACTAGAACTGGGGAAAAAATCAACATCAACATGAAGTGAAGGTGGGGTCCTAGTCAATTCCAGCCCACCCTCTTCTGCTGTGGACCCATGAAGGCCAAGTGGTCTCCAGGAGCTGGGCCCCAGACACGCCTGAAGGAGCTCAGCCCTGTCACCGAGGCTGACGCTGAGGCGTTCCTGCTGGAGCTGCCCTCGGCTCAGCGTGTGGCAACGGAAGGGGCACGGCGAGGGCAAGAAAAAGTGAGCACACACCCCCCACCCCCACCCCCAGTCACCGTGCAGATTCGGGGTCTGGCCAGCTCTGGAGGTTCTCACAAACCTGATTTTCCATCCAGCTTCTTTGGCATGGTTTCCTTGACAAGATTATAGACTTTTTCTAATCTGAAAAGAAAGGCAAACCCATTCCATTTTAAGCCACACATTCCCCACCATGTCCCTCACAAAAGCAGCATTCCCTTAAAACTCCTGAAAATCCTGGTCACTGAAGATACCTGCCAGTCCTTCTCCCCGTGCTGCGGACATCTCCTCACCAGGTCCACTTCCACTTGGCATCCCCCAGTGGCCAGAGCAGCAGGCCAGCCTCCCTTCACCTCAGGCCACACACACTCAAGCTCTTGTCCCTGAACACCTCTCTCTTTCCTTTCCATCCTGCCCTTCTCCCAGCTCCTCAGAAGATTCAGACAGACGGACAGACTCTTGCCTCCTCATATGCTGGCTATGATTAGCTGAAGAAAAGGGAAGCAGGACTCTTGGACTCTGGAGGTACCGTTATTGCCAGCCCGTCTTAGTCCTCAGCCTCTTGTCAGCCTAGCTGCCCCCCCGTCCCACCCAACCCTGTTCGTACTTGGCCTGGATGCCCGTCCACAACATGTGCTGCCGCTGAACCACATCCGGATGCTTCTTGATGAACTCGCCATCGTATGGCAGGATGAACTCCCAGCCTTTATTGATCCTCACCACAGCCATGTGCTCCAGAAAGTCCTTCACATCCTCTGCACAAAGCTGGGGGAGGCAGAGAGGTGGTACACAGAGAGCAAAGGGGAGCAGGTCCCAGTACCCCCTCTGCCCCTGGATCCAGGGCAGCCTCAGGAGAACTCTACTCACTTTGGTCACTACTGCCACCTCTTTCCTCACCACCCAACGACTCTGCGTGAACTTCCACATCTGGGAGAGAAAAGCAAATTCATTTCCAGAGGGACCAAGATGACGCTGCTCCTAAGACAATCCCCCAAAGCCACGTGGTTATCCTGTCAGCTGGGATATGGGGACAGAGCAGTGGTCAGTGCCTGGCCCTGACTTACTTGCTGTGTGTGGCCGTACGCAGTCACGTCACTTCAGCCTCCATTTTCTCCTCTGAGAAATGGAGTTCCAGGTCATCTCTTCCAGGTCCCCTCCCCCCCAAGTCTACAAGCTCCCTAGGGCAGAGGAGGGCTCATCTGTTTTATTCACCTCAGTATCCCCAACACCTCTCCGATTCAGCTCAGGAGTCACAGACCCAGAGGCAGGAAGCGGGAGGAAGGCAGACACTTTGAGCTTAGGAGGTGGCTGTCATTTGGGAATGCAGGCCCAAAGGTACCTCAATGGCCTGTTATCCAAGACAGGCAGGAAATCTGGTTTGTATTATGCCTTGATTTATAAAACTCAACAACCAAGTCAACAATTCACAAACGCCTCTCAAAACATGCTCCTTGGCCAGACTTCACCCTCTAGGCTAGAAGTAGAGGAACTCAAAGGGCCTCAGGAGGCTTGAGATCCAGAGGCCAAGGAAGGAGGATAAACATGCCCAGTCTACCCACGGAGGCCTTCCCCCTTTTCTGCCCTCTGCTGGGCCAACAGGTACTCACCACAAAGTCTCGGCCCCGGCAGAGCACCTCAGCAGGCACACCACTGTGAGGGCTGGACGAGTCTCTGGGATACAGGATGTCACTGCCAACAAGAGTGGGGAGTACCAGGTCAGTCCTGCCCTCTCCCTTGGGCTCAGCCTTGGAAGGCCTGGTTGCCCCCAGCTCTAAGGACCAACATATCTGGAGTTCCCTCTCCTCCCTCTGCCTCACCCCCAGGGTCTAGCCTGGCTCCACAAAGAAGCGAGGGAAGGACACCACCCAGGACACTCTGGAAGACCACTAGTCCCCACATGCTAAGGTGCCAGCGCCTGCCCACAGAAACAGGTGGACTATGTGGGCTGAGGCAGAGAGACAGCACCAGCACTGGAGGCTCAGAGAACTTCAGTGGGAAAGGCCCAGAGAGGTGCGTATCCCGGGAGCACTAGGGAAAACAGGAATCTTCACAGCATAATCCAAATCCGAACCCAGCCACACCAGGGAGGCCCCTTTAGTCCTCTGCCACCTTCGCTGGAAGGCTCTGGCTGCTCCCCTCCCTCCTCCTCTTCAGTCCTACCTACCTGGTAACCAGCTAGTACTCATCTTTCACAGATGAGCTCCCCAGCCCTGACCAACAACACTGTCAAGGTTCTGCGGGGACAGGGACGTTGCCTGTGTTGCTCAACTGTGTTCTCAACACCTAGCTGCCACATTTAGAGAAGGTGTCTCTATGTGTGGGGTGAATGAACAAATGTGGCGGAGGCCCTGGATCTCTGTATTTGGCGCACCCACCCTCTATCTCTGTATTTGGCGCGCCCACCCTCTCCCGGCCCTACAAATTACTGGAGGTGGTGGCAGCATCTGAATGAGTGCACAGTGCCTGGCACGGAACAAACAACCACGCTGAATGAACTACGTGTACCTCCTCACAGAGATATAACAGACTACCCAGAAGCCTCTGGTGTAGATGACAATGAGTGGAAAGGTCTGGCAGTCTTCACCTTCAAATCCTAACTACAGATCACACATCACCAGGGGTACATGCAGAGACCCCAAGTCTGAGTCTCCAGGTTCAAGCTCTAGCCTCAGCTTGGTGGCTAGTTTGCTGTGAAATGTGTGGGACGTTTCATTCCCTTTCTGAGCCAGTGAGCCCAAGTGCACCAAGAGAAGGACCCTGTAGCTTCCATCCACTCATTTGAGGGGAATACACACAGGGTGGTCACATGTAATGAGTGGTGGGCTACTGCCATGCTCTCCCACAGCTACAAACAAGGCAACTGGTGCTACAAAACAAAGTTCTGGCATGTTGGTGGCTGGCTGTGTGCCATCGAGTTGGTTCTGACTCGTAGTGACCCTGAAGGTTTCCAAGGCTGTAAATCTTTACAGGACTAGGAAGTCTCTTCTTTCTCCCATGGATCACCTCGTAGGCTTCAACTGCTGATCCTGTGGTTAGCAGCCCAACCGTTAAGTAACCACTACTGTACCAAGGCATCTGTTAATCAGTGAAAGAGCACCACCATGTGGCACTCACATACATTCAACTTTACAATTTACTCAGCCAACCAACTTTGAAATGATGTACTTTTTACAATGAGTTCCTTTTTAAAATTTGGGGTCAGTTCACATTCTGTGAGATCGTTCACCTTATCTTACGTTAAAATGCACTTCAAAAGTGAGTCTTCATTATACTATTTAAATATGCATAAAAAGTAACTATACTGTATTTCCCATGAGCCCCGGTATGGGTTAATGCACCAGACTGCAAAGTCCGTTTGAACTACAAGACTCACCTCACCAGCCGTTCCTCGGAAATCCTATACAGGGTAGCTATGAGTTGAACTGATTCAATTGCACTTAACAAGAACAACCACCATGTCAGGTTGGGCACAGTGCATGCAGGGAAGAGCCAAACAATCTGTTTCCCCTTGCAACTGAGTCTTAATGAAGGGATTCCAGAAAAAAAGAAATCACTGAAAGCCACAAATTCAACACCAATGAACTCCAAAAGGATACAGAAAAAGATATGCACACCTAGGCAAATCTTAATGATACTGTAGAAAACCAAAGAGGAAATCTGGAAAGTAACCAAAAGGAAAAAAGGGGAGCTTATCTGACAAGGAGCTCTGGTAGTGCAGTGGTTATGAATTGGGCTGCGAACCGAAAGGTCAGCAGTCCAAAACTACCAGCTGCTCTGCAAGAGAAAGATGAGGCGTTCTGCTCCCGTAAAGATTTACAGCCTCGATAACCCTGTACAGGGTCACTATGAGTCGGAACCGACTCCACGGCACACAGCCACCGCGACCATCTGACAAGTAGTTTTGTCAACAAAAACAATGTCAGAATACAGGCAGTCTCTGACTTCCAATGTATTCATGTTACCCTGAACCACACTTATGATTAACCCATGTTTTTTTTTAACACATTTTATCGTTAATAAATATAATGCAGTACACAGTTTTCTGATACCATTCTCGTAAGTTCACTCACACACGTTCAATTTTATAATTTACTATTCAAAACAAAACTGTATAACTGACTTACATCAGAACTGACTTATGACAGAATTGTCAGAATGTAACATTTTAAGAGTTGAAGACAACTTACAGTAAAGTTTTATCAATGTGCTGAAAGAAAATCATTATCAACATGAGTCTCTTCCCAATAAAAATGTCCTTAAATACAGAAAAAACCATCTCCAGATAAACAAAAAACTAAGGAAGGAGATTCACATGGCACCTGAGGGCACACACAGCCATCTTTGTGCAGATTATTCCAGATAGAACCCCATAAGGGAATGATGACCAGAATTAGAGAGTAAGTATGTGACTACCTCTAAAGAATATTTGCTAGCTAATATAATGCTATTGCAAGGCTTCAAACAGAAGGACTATTAAAGTACACAAATACAACAGCATAAGTTGGAATTTTCTTGGGAAAGAGTAAAAAAAGAGCAATCAATATTAAACTGTCATGAATACATGCTGAAATCGGCAGGATAATCACTAAGAGTTCAGAGGAAAAGAACTTTCGAGGAAGGGGGGGAAATGGATAATAAAAATGAAGTTCAGTAGAAGGCAATCATTAATATAAAATGCAAAACAGGCGTGGCACTGTGGGTTAATGTGCTGGACCACAAGGCTAGTGGTTCAATCTCACTAGCTGCTCCTTGGAAATCCTATACAGGGTTGCTATGAGTTGGAACTGACTCAATGGCACTTAACAACAACAGGCACTACCATACATTTAAACACCAAATGCCAGTAATTTCAATGGATTTAGTGCTCCAGTTAGGAGGCTACAGATGAACTTACCTCTTCACCACCCAGTTTCCTTGGACTAACATCGCCACCTTCTGGATGCCACGCAGAACAGCCACAGGATCGACAGAGGGGCCTAGTAGGCTCATCAAGTTGGCAAAAGGCATGACCTTCACTGAGGAAGACGCAGGAGACAAAGGGGAGAAGGGCCTGGGTCCTAATCTCTCCTAACCTGAGTCCTCTTAGCTTCCAACTCACACAATATCCCAGAACGTGCATCCCAACACTGACATCAGTAACACCATTGGCTGATCCTCACTGCCTTCTCACTCTCACCACATGCTGGGCACTGAACCATCAGCTACTTTATGAAGAAGATTCTATTATTACTCTCATTTTACAGAAGACCGTCACACTCACCCAAGATGGCACAGTTAATGAGTGGAGAGCCCGGGTTTAGGGCCAGAACATCTGGCTCTATAGTCTGTGCCCTTAATCACAATGCTCTGCTGGTCTGCCAGCCTCCCGAGCCCCCAGAAAGGCAGCCTGTTGCTTTCTGTACTCCAGGGGTGAGCTTAAGGATTAGGCCCTGAGGTCAGTGCATGAGGTGAAACCGAGTACCGAGCCCATGTGCAGGGAAACGCTTCCTTCGGAGAGGAGCTGTCTTTACGTCAGCCTCCATACTAGGACCTTTGGAGCCTATCTTGGAATCCTGAGGTCTTTTCACAGATAAACCCTGTACAGGGTTTCTGAGATTGGCTGGTAGGTTTGAACCAACCACCCTGTAGTTAACAATCCAGCGCTTATCCTACAACGCCAAACTGGGACTCTACAACAACCCCAAGCACATACCCTCCCAGAGCAAGACAGAGCAGGACAGCTATTAGGTCAAGCAGCCTTAGTGCCCAGGAGGACAGAGGAGGCCCACTCACCATTCTTCATCAGGATCTTGATCTGATCGGCCAGGGGCAGGGTGCGAAGCTGGGTCATGGACAGGACATTGCTGGGGGCCACAGGCTCGTCTCTATTAAAAACAAAGGTGATGGGTTAGAGCAAGTCAGCTGGGGGAGAGAGGGGGCGTCCAGCCCAGCCCTACTCACTTCTTCTCCTCCTGGCTGGGTGGCATCAGCATCATGAGGTACTCACTATGGGGGAGAGGGCAGAGTCAGGGACTCCTAGGCCCCAGGGTTCCACCCTACCCGTGAACATAGGCTGAAGGGTTGGGGGTGGAGCAGACAGAGGACATACTCTCAGAACCAAGAGCTTACCCCTTCCATGCCACTCCCTCCCCACACTCAAGGCCTGGAAGAAGTCCTCACACCAGAATCCCCCAGGCCCAGCATCGCTCCCCCACCCTGCTCTGGCCAATCCCACCTGGGTGACTTGATGAGCTCCGTGTTCTCAACCCCGCCGGAGCCCTGGCACAGCAGGTACTGGCGCTCGTACTCAGAACGGCTATCCTGTCGGAGAGGTGCAGGGCTGTGTGTCAACAGCTAAACACATGCACTAATGCAGGCGCCCTCTAAATAACTCCACAAGGCTGTTGATGCTGCCATGTGACATCGCATCAGCTCTGACTCACAGCAACCCTGTATAAGGTTTCTGAGATCGGCTGGTGGGTTTGAACTGCCAACCTTTTGGTTAGCAGCCCAGTGCTTACCCTACAGTGCCAAACCAGAGCTCTACACGGTAGGTACTATCATTCTTGTTTTACAGACCAGGAAACTAAGGTGCAGGCAGAGCTGCTGCTAGGTAACTTGCCCGAGGTCATACAGAAGGAAACGGCAGTTTTCTGGCAATCTGACCCCAAGTCTAAGGCAAGTTCCAGAGAAATCAGGAGTTGCTCTTCCACAAGCAAATGTCAGGGAGCCTCTGAGAGCTAACACTGTTGCTTTCCGTACTCCATGGGTGAGCTTAAGGATCAGGCTCTGAGGTCAACGCATGAGGGGAAACCGAGTACCGAGCCCGTGGCAGCTGGCCACTCCCCAGTGGAGCACCTGGGCCAGGTGGCAGGAAAAATATATAACCAAACTCCGACCCTCTCCTGGTGCAGCAAGATGCTCTGACTTGGGGAGAGGGTCCAGACATCTTCAACTCCTGCTCCCTCCGAGGCACACAGCAAGTGGAGCCGCTGGAATCGGGGCAAACTGCCTGCAGAATCTCAATTCTCTCTGGTGCTATTACCACAGGGCCCTAGCTGAAGTGTCAGTAAAAGGTGAGACCCCATGCAGCCCCCTGGCTTTGCTCCCACCAGCGCACCCTGAGGCCCGGCTCACCCTGAGGCCATAATAGTGCAGGTGCACCCAGGGCTCCTCAGCATGCTTCTTCTGGAGGAACTCGTAGGACTGAACTCGGCGCTGGCGGGCCTGCTCTGACTCAGGCCGGGAGAACCGCACCTGGGGGAGGGAGGGAGGGAGAGGAAGGCTGATACCTGTGAGCCTTCCTAAGCTCCTCTCAGGTCAGAGAACCCCACATACAGGGCCAGTTTCCATGCCTCCCCCTCCCCCCCCCCACCCACACACAGGCTGCCTTACACACACACACCCCAGCCCCCCCCCACACACACACACAGGCTGCCTTTTACATTCAAGCCTGTTTGCAGGTCCTCTTGCTTTTGCCTGCCCAGCTTCCATCCAGTTCACCCTCCCTTGAACTTCTCAATATTGTGGGCTAATACGTTCCATGTTTGTTTAAGTCCGTTTCTGTGGCTAACAGAGTCCTGAAGGACTCCAAGCCCTGGCTGACCTCCCTCCCCTGAGAAACGGACCTGGATGAGCGATTTGGTCAGATTTTCAAATCCTGGGGGGGCCACAGTGAGAAGGGTGGTTCCCCCACATCAGTCACGTCAGTACTGGCACCATTTTCAATTTCAGACAAACATTCCTCACAACTTGAATCACACTGGGTACCACATGTGTCAACACTTGTATAGTATTTTCCCTTAAATAGACCCATTTTAACCTAAATTTACTTAAATATCACAATCCAAATCACGTAACACAGGGTAGAACTGTCCCACAGGGGTTTCTTGACTGTAAGCTTTATGCAAACAGGTAACTAGAACTTTCTTCCCAAGCACCAAGGGGTGGGTTGAACCAAGGTTATTAGTGGAATGCAAACCATTTGTACTACCCAAAGTCTGGTTAAATAGGGCAGAGATCCCTAACAACAGAAACTATAAATAAACGCAAGACCAATATTCTTTTCATAAAAATCCAGTCCCATGTGCCTTGCTTCCTCCTCCCAGGCAATTCTACCTAGCCCCGAGGTCCAATCTCCAGCCAGGGCCATTACCTTCCTTACAGCTCAGCAGGGCCCAAGCCCAGCAAGAAGGCTCAGCAGAGGAAGCCATCCAGGAACAGCCTCACCCAGAGCCACTTCCTGGTGAGGCCCTGGTGAGCTGCGTACAGCCAGCCACACGCCTCCCCACTGCTCCACTCTTTCAGGGCCAGCACTCACCGTAATCTGCTTAACATCTTCTTCAGCCTCATCCTGTGAAGAGTCTCCAGCTATAAAAGAAACGAATCCTAGCTTGCAGGTTGTGCCTCTGGGATGCCAGGCAGTGGGGTCAGTCAGGGGCATTTGTTCATGGCTGAAGACCAGCCTGGGGGAAAGGGAGCTATGGACATCTAGTGGGTGGAGGTCAGGGATGCCTCTGAACATCCTATTGTCCCCATAATTCAATCCCTTCAATGCTATCTCCCATGACCACCGATCCTGCCAAGGCACAGACAGACAGGCAGGCAAGGAGGCAAGCCGACAGACAGACAACAGAGCTGGGGCCCCGGAACTCACCCTCATTGGCTGCCTCCCTCTCTCGGTGTTTGGCGTCAGCTTTGTCCAGGTACGAGAAGCTGGGTCGTAACTGCAGGATGCCATGTAAAGGTGTCAGGTGGAGCTCACCTAGCAGAGGAAGAAGGGCAACCCAACTAGGAACGGGGCCGACCCACCCAGCTTGGTTCAGGTAACTTCACCAAGGGTCCAGGGCTCTTCTGGAAGCCTAGGCCAGCCATCTCTCTCTCCAGTCTATGGACCTGACAGATCCCAGAACTCTGGGGTTAACAAGTTACAGTCATTCTGGGTCAACCTGGTCCTGGAGGAATAGCAAGCACACAACCTGAACCAGAGTGTGCCCCTGGGCTCCTCTGGGCAAACATGCTTGCTTCAGGGCTGCATTCAAGTCCTACAGGGCAAGTGTTCCAGGAATTCCCAGTTCTAGCCAACAATGTTCTGGCTAGAGTGAGCAAGCACACCTGCTCTCCCTTCCTCCAGGCCCAGAACTACCCTCCCCTCAATGTACACATTCACACTTCCGCCTTCTCAGCCTATCGGAGGCCCACGGTCCCTTAAAGAATACTAGTGCAATGTGGCTGGCCAAAGAGCCCCAAGGAACCTGATAAGCTTCCCCATGGTCTCTGATGCAGGGCACACACACAGCTCCTAACTGGGGAGGCAGTGTAAAGACAAATGATGCCAAGCAAGCCCATGCAGACTTGAAAGAGAAGCAAGCAGGGCACTACCTGCACACATGGCTCTGTGAAAGCTCTCTGGGCTCAGAGCAGGTAGAAAGCTCTTGATAAGGAGTAAATGAAGGAATGACCCTGGTGCCAAGAACATGGCTGTAAAGAACTGTATCCTTGAAACACTGGTTGTTCAAAAACATTCATCATCAAAAAGAACATTTCAAGATATATATCCTGAAGTACAACGCTACCTGTGATAGGATAATATCCATACGCCTATAAGGAAGAGCCGTTAATATCACTTTTATTCAAATTTATGCACCAATCACTAAGGCCAGTGAGAATGAAATTGAAAAATTCTACCAACTTCTTCAGTCTGAAATTGATCAAACATACAATCAAGACATACTGATAATTAGTGGTGAAACAACTGGAAACAAAGAGGAAGGAGCAGTAGTTGGGAAATATAGCCTTCGCGACAGAAATGATGCCGGGAATCACATGACGGAATTGTGTAAGATCAATGACTTACTCATTGCAAATAGTTTTAAACAATATAAAAGGCAATTATACACATGGACCTCACCAGATGGAATACACAGAAACCTAACTGATTATATCTATGGGAAGAGACAATGGAAACACTCAGTATCATCAGTTAAAACGAGGCCAGACTGGAAAAGACCATCAATTGCTCAGATGCAAGTTCAGGCTGAAATTAAAACAAGTCCACAAAAGCCACTCTGTGACCTTGGACATAGCCCACCTGAATTCAGAAACCATCTGAAGAACAGATTTGCTGTATTAGACACTAATGACTGAAGACCAGAAGATGACACCAAGAACATCATTCACAAAAGCAAAAGGTCATTAAGAAGACAAGAAGGAAAAGACCAAATGGGATGTCAGAAGAGCTCTGAAACTTGCTCTCCAGCGTAGATGCCAAAATGAATAGAAGATACAAAGAAGTAAAAGAGCTGAATGGAAAATTTCAAAGGGCAGCTCAAGAAGATAAAGTAGAGTATTCTAATTAAATATGCAAAGATTTAGAGTGGGAAAACCAAAAAGAAGAAAACGTTCAGCATTTCTTATGCTGAAAGAACTAAAGAGAAAATTCAGGCCCCAACTTGCAATACTGAAAGATTCCATGGGCAAAATATTGTATGATGCAGAAAGTATCAAAGAAGACTGATGGTACCCACAGTGGCTACTTCATATATTCCGTGTTCAACCATTTCAACAGGTAGTATCTGATCAAGAACTCATGGTACACTGACGAAAAACAAGACTCCAGGAACTTACTGAAAACAAACTGCAATCTTTCAACACACTGATGCAGCACTGGAGGTGCTCACTCATTTCTGCCAAAAAATTAGGACGATAGCTACCTGGTCAACAGACTGCAAGGGATCCGTATTTGTGCCCATTCCAAAGAGAAGTGACCCGACGGAATGTGGAAATCATTATACAATATAACATGCAAGTAAAATTTTGCCTAAGGTAATTCATTCAGCTGCAACAACAGTGTATCAACAACAAACTGCCATGTAGCATTGCTGACATCAGATGGATCTTGGTGGAAAGATGAGAATAGCAGGATATTTACCTGTGCTTTACTGACTATGCAAAGACTTTCAACTGTGTGGATAATGACAAATTGTGAGAAGATATTTCAGAATACTTGACTGTGTTCATGAGGAACCTATACATAGACCAAGAGCAGCTGTTAGAACTGCTCAAGAGCAGAACAAGGGGACACCGAATGGTTTAAAACCAGGAAAGGTGTGAGCCAAGAATGTATTGCACCATATTTATTCAATCTGTATGCTGAGCAAATTATCCAACAAGCTGGAATATATGAAGAAGAACGTGGCATCAGGAGTGGAAGTAGACTCATTAACAACCTGCAGTACGCAGATGACACAATCTTGCTTGCTCAAGGTGAAGAGGACTTGACGTACTTACTGATGAAGATCAAAGACTACAGTCTTCAGTATGGATTATACCTTAACGTAAAGAAAACAAAATCCTAACATCCGGACCAGTTCATAACATCATGATAAATGGAGAAAAGACTTTAAGTTGTCAAAGACATCACTTTCCCTGGAGCTACTGTCAACACTCATGGGAACAGCAGCCAAGAAATCAAGCAACATATTGCATTAGGCAAAGCTGTTGCACAAGACTTCCTAAAAGCGTTCAAGAGCAAAGACAGCAGTTTGAGGAGTAAGATGCGCCTGACCCAAGCTATGGTACAGACTGTAGAGGAGTTGGTGTATCTGAGTTATGATGGTGAAGGAGAGTGTTAAAAGTACCATGGACTGCCAGAACACATCTGTATTGAAAAAAGGATAGCCAGGATGCTCCTTGGACTCCTACTTTGGACACATTCTCAATAGGGACCAGTCCCTGAAGAAGGACATCATGCTTGGGAAAGAGGAGGGCGAGTGCAAAGAGCCCCCAGTGTGATGGATGGCATAGTGGTAACAGCAATGGGCGGAAGTGTGAGGATGGCACAGGACTGGCAATGTTTCGTTCTGGTAAGCGCAGGATCTCTATGCAATGGGACAGTTAGGAATAGTCATTAGGTTACAGACACAAGTCCCCAAGGGTCCGACGTCCCAGACTACAGCCGCTTATTTGTCATCAGCAGAAAGATGGCTGCTCCCCTCCTCTCCACTGCCTGATACCTGGTCCTGCTTCACAGCTGCCCACCCCCAGCAACTCCACACACAAGAACTTCCACCGCCTGCCCAGCCACTGGGGGGTTTGTGGACAATGAGGGAGAAGCAGACACCAGGTGAGGTACTGTCGTCTCCCTGTCAGTGTCCGTTCCGACCTCACCCTCCTCGCCCCCCAGTGCTGTTGATGAAGTAAGTTCTAGGAACCATGGCAGGGCTCCATTACCTTTCCTGTAGAGTGCAGCCGCATAGCGGGCTGTGTTACTGGTGGTCTGGGATGAGCAAAATGTCTGCTTGTCCATCAGCTTCCTAGGAGCACAGGGAGAACTGAGTCAAATGGGAGAGGCTCCAGAGTACAGCCCATGCCACTTGACTCCCAAGGCCAGGCGATGTGCCTCAGGAGTGGAGTGGAGACTTGAGATTCCAGCGTTGTCATCAGGTGTGTGGACCAAAAGACGAGCAGTGGCATATGGGCCAGGGTCCAGCCAGAGAACTTGGCAGGAAGAGCAACTCAGAATGCGTTCTGGAGGAAGGGCCTACGGCACACGTGCATGCGCATACACAGAGTGCAGCATGACCTCTGGACAGATGGTGGGGCAATGACATAAAGCTAGGACACGGGGGGAGCCAGCAGTGGGCTGGAAGGGACTACACTGATGCTGTATGTGAACACCTCGGCTCAGAGGGCTCACGGGCCTGTGAACTCACGAGGAATAGGTGCTGCTCTCGTCAGTGCAGGTGCCATCCACATTCAGCGCTATCTGCTCCCCTTTGCTGCGGCAATAGTTGGGATTCAGGGTGTCGATGGCCATCTCAAGCTCTACCTGCAGGGACCAAGCATCTGCTATGAGAACCCCCAGGCACAGCTCCCAAACCCCCCATGGCCAGCTGTTATACTGACACTGGTGTTGTTCCCCTAGGCTCCTAGGCCACACACTGGAACACCAACATCAGTGCCACAGGGCTGCTGATGGCACACTCCACACCCAAAGAGCTAAATGAGGTGCCAACACTAACCAACCAAGAGGTTTCTCAAAAGTCCGTATAACCAACTGTGCTTGAAAGCTCAGCAGAGCTGGCAACACTTACGAGCACCTCCGGGTGGCATCATTGGCAGGGCAGGGCAGATGGCCCCTCCTAGATACCACACACACAGGCCCGAACCTACATCTTTATCCCACTTCTTCCTGGGGAATGTATTTGGGCCCCATGCGCCACACACATCTGACCCCATTGAGTCACTAACCTAGCTTGAGTCTCGTCCTTCCTGACCGTGTTGGAGCAGCCCACCCCCTTTCTTTCTGGAAACTCTTGCTTTGTTGAGCATTCAAGTCCCTAGTAAACAGATGGTTCCCTTTTAACTCTGCAACCGTCCCTGTTCTGAGCTTCCAGTTCCTTCCTCCCTCATCCCATGCAAGAGGGCAAGCCCACCTTCTGTTGCTTAGGCTTGATCTTGGCTGAGAGGTGGGGAATGTCATTGTAGGGCATCGAGGCTGGGCGCACGGGGTACTGGAAAGGGAAAAGGAGTCATCAATCTATGCTGCTCAGCCCCCAACCAGAGCTGAGCTCCTGGGGCCACACTCCTCTCTCCTCTAGACCCAAAGACCCCAGGGTCCCCACCAGCCTGGACATACGGCTCTGCCCCATTCTCATAGGCCTCACCTAGCCACCACCTCCTTCCCAAGGTCAATTTTAGAACATCTTTGATTTTCAGGGACTAGGACCCCAAAGGAGCCTAGTGTGCACACCCAGCAGGTTCTAGGGACCCAGGGAGGGCTGTGAGTCAAGAGTAAGGATCGGTCTTCATTCTAGGAACCAGTTCTCAGGGCACATGAAGATAGGACAGGTTCAATCAGACAAGGAAGAAGAGGGAAACTGCAAGATGGGTGTTTGAGAACTCGCATCATTCTACTTTTATACATGTGTGAACATCTCCATAAGAAAAAGAGAGACGGGAACTGATCTGGCGAGGCGCTGACCCTAGTCTGGACCTAGCTCTCTCGCACACTGTTCTACTGGGTTAGGATTTAGACCCATCCTGTCCCGTGTACACCCTCAGAGAGCTCTGGCCATCACAGCCTTGCATTACCACTGGAAGAGTCTGCTGGAGATGTGGGAGAATGTGTACTTTTAGGGGACTGTTTTAGATTAGCTACATTCTAGCCCCAAGAGTCCTGGTGTGGCACAGTGGGATAAGCACTGGACCTCAAAGTCACTCCTCAGACAGCCTACACTGTGGTCGCTATGAGTTGGAACAGACTCCACAGCACTTAGCAACAACAACAAAGCCCAAGGAAAAGGTTTTTCCCTAGAAACTCAGTGAAATAGCCATAGTGAACCCTTCCTGCATTCTGGGCTGGAGCTTGAGAGTGGCTAGGAAGTGCAGAGGTAGCTGTAAATGAGAAACAACACAGGCAGGGACAAGCCCCCTAACCAGCCATGACTGAGATTCTCTGACCTTAGACTGGGAAAGGTGGTAGGGACAGGCCCAGGTTCTGGAGTCAGACAGGCCTGGGTTCTGGTCCCAACTCCACCACCGAACATTTGAAAGACCTTGGCAAGCTCCTCGCCTCCCAGTACGCACTAGTCTCCTCACCTCATGGGGCTGCTTTGAACTACAGGAACTGACACTGGCCCAGGGTCACACACACCATGGTGACACGTGGACTTGCCACCGCCAGGCCCCATCATTCTGCAGTCAGGGAAGCAGGTGGAGACTGCCCAGTGGCAGGCAGGAGAGGCTTCCTGCCCCCAAATCCAAGTCTCGACTCAGTGCATAACCACCAGCTCCCTGTGCAAATTACCAGCCAATTCCTGCCTCATCTTCTCATATGCAAAATGGGGCAAAATACTTTTAATAACTTCATGGGCAAGAATGTAAATGGTGTAAGACTAGCCTTCTTCAAAAAGTTCCACACAGTGAGGATGTTGTTGGTAAGTAAGTGTTGTCGAGTCAGTTCCAAGTCACAGCATTTCTGAATAGGGTTTCTGAGGCTATACAGCTTTGCGGCTGCAGTAAGCCTCATCTTTCTCCTACAAAGTGGCTGGTGGGTTCGAACTCCACCTTTGTAGTTGGTAGTCCAGTGTTTATCATATAGCACTACCACACTCCCCAGAATCACCATATTGTTGTTAAGTGTTGTTGAGTTGGTTCTGACCCACAGCAACCCTGTATAGGGTTTCTGAAGAGCAGCTGGTGAGCTTGAACCGCCAACCATGTGGATCAAACTGACCCTGCAGTCCAGTGCATTAACCCACAGTGCCACAGGGTCCAGTGATTGCACTTCTAGGTATAAAGTCAGGAGAAATGAAAGCTTATGTCCACACAAAACTTGGACACAAATTTTCACTGCAGCATTTTTCACAATAGAGAAGATGTGGAAAGAAGCCAAATTTCCATCAATAGATGATGGATACACAAATGAGGTTCGTCACACAATAGAAGAATTAGCCATAAAAAGGAACCCTGAAACCTTTATGCCAAGAGAAAGAAGTCAGGCACAAAAGGCCTATATTGTGGGATTCCATTTACATGAAATGTTCTGAACAGGCAAATCCAGGGGCTGAGGAAGGAAGGGAGTGAGGAGAGAATTGGGGCCGACTGCTCCAGGTACAGTTTCTTTTAGGGAAAACAACAAGTGTCCTAACATCAGACTGTGGCGATGCCTTGTACAGCCCTGTGACACACAGAAACACCCTCAACTGGGCTTATGTGGAGGAAGTGTGTGCAGGTGAATTCTAGTTCAGCGGGGGAGAAAAGGGGTGCTGGGAAGTGCCGCTGAGTTGGTTCCAACTCTCAGCAACCCTGTACAGGGTTTCTGAGGAGCAGGTGAAGGGTTTGAACTCCTGACCTTGTGGTAACCCTACAGCACCACACCAGGAGTCCTACAGCTCAGCACAATAGTTATGTGAGGATTGAATGAGTTTATATGTCAATGCTATAACCAGGGCCTGCACACAGTCGGTGCCTAACACAGGCCAGTCAGGAGGGAAGAGGGACGCGGGTGGCAGGACTGCCCCAGACCTGTTGTTCACCCTCCAGTAAGTGCCCTCTCGGAGCCTCAGTAACAACACGTTATTCTCCATCAACGCCACGTTGCCAGTCAAGGCTCTTAAACACTTTAGTAAGGATTGCTTCAATCCTCACAGGGATCCTTGAGGACCATTTTGTAAATGAGGAAACAGAGGCACGGAGAACTTGCCCACAGGCTCATGTCTACATTGTGAGGAAGCTGGACTTCAAGGCCAGCACCCTGACCCCAGAGCCAGCTTAGAACCAGCACCCCATGTAGCCGTTGGCTTGGCTTTCCCGTCTCCAAATTGAGATTTCTCTAAATCCACCCATTAGCCCAGGGAACTATCTAACACACACACACGCATCCCTAGAAGTCCAGCAAGGTGGACATTCGCCATCACTCCCTGTCCACAACGTACTGTACTTGCTTTGCCCCCAACTTTAAGCCCCATAATTACCTGGAACAGGTAGAGCTTCTCTGCAAGACTTTTGGCCAAGTACACGTCGATCTGGAAAGCAAGGAAAGAAGACTTAAACAGGAGACAGAACCCAATGTCCTACCTGCCTCAGGCATGTACCTGAATTTCAAGAAAGGGCAGGGACTCAGAGAGGCAGGCTGGGGGAGAGGAAATATCATAACTCTTGCTACAAACAAAGGGAACCAAGTCTCTAATCTGGGTATGTCTAGAGCCAGCAGGTCAGGATTCTGTTCCTACAGCTCCCAGGGGACCAGGACAAGTGTGGGTCTGGTACCCCAGCCCAGGTCACCATAACCCAATAAAAGTGGACCTTCCCCCAGATTCCCAGTTCAGGATGCTCCCTAGGAGGAGGTGGCACCTGCAATGACCTTTAACACTGTCTTAATGTGATGTTGAAGGTCCTGCCTCAGCACACTTAACAGTTTACCTTCCTGTTTTCTAGCTCCTCACATGAAACAAGCTCTTTTCCACCTCTGGGTCTTTGCACATGTTGTTCCCTTCATCTCGAATGCTCTTCCCACATGCCTCCCAGAGCTGGTTCATCCTTAAGGACTCAGTTGAACCACTAGTTTGTTCAGGAAGCGTTCCAGGCTCCTGAATTGCAGATGACGCCCACCTCAGTCTCAAGACTCCTGCAGGCTTCCCTCTCCCCCAGCACCCATCATCCTCACGGTAATTCCTGTTACAGCAGCGGAGCCACAGGTAATTATATCAGCACCTCTCCAAAAGAAAACAAGAATTACCCTCATTCATCATGAGAGACCTCCTTGTCCCTTTTAACTATCCTGGTCTCCACAAATAGGCGGTCAAAGTCAAATGCAGGGAATTTTTGCCTTGTGCCTTCCAAATGTCTAGAGTTAGAACCTTTTGACTTCTGACTCTGGAACCTACCACTACCTGCCTTCCTTGTCCTTTTCACCCCTCAAGCTCCTGAGGGCTGTATCCAGCCCCAGCAAAGCAGCTATCAGATCCACTCACTCATCAGACTAATTACATGCAGGCACTGCACTTGACACTACAGATACAACTGTGAACACAACCAAACCCCTGCCCTCAGGCAGCTTATATTCATATTCTCCTGGAAGGAGACAGACCATAAACAAATAAACTATGTCTAGGCAATGTTAGTGGGAGAAAGATGAGGCTTTCTGCTCCCATAAAGATTTACAGCCTCAGAAACCCTGTGCAGGGTCACTATGAGTCAGAACCGACTGCATGGTAGTTAAAAACAACAACAGGGGATGCTAGATGCTAAGGTCAAGGAAAGGGGACAAGAGAAGGGAATAGGAGAAGGATGCCACCCAAAGTAGAGTGTTCAGGGAAGGTGTTAAGGGGATATCTGATCAGAGACCTGAGGGAAAAAGAGTTCTAACAGAGGGAACAGAAAGGGCTGAGGGTACCTTAGAGGCCCACAGGTCCCAAACTGGTCTGGGAAGGGTTAGCAAAGATCCAGTCCTGTTGTCTGCAGCCCTGGGTCCAGACACTTCTCCTTACCACCCTGGGCACAAGGCGGAGACCAGCAATTACCTCCTGTACAACTGGGTCATCCTCTTCATTGGCCATACTAGGGGCGAGCCAGCTGTGTAGTCCTTGGATTCAACCTGCAAAGAGGAGGAGGCCTGGACCATCAGTTAGTCATTCAAGCAACACTTCTAGGGTACCTGCTCTGCAGCAGGTTTGCACTGGGAGTAAGGAGCCTGAGACAAATAGAAACTGACCTTTCTACATCTGTTAGGAGTCAGCAGCAGAGAGACAACTAAATACCCCATCCGCCAAAAGAGAGAGAAGGTCAGAAATAACCAAGCAATGGGTGCATATGAGTAGACATGAGTCAACACCTGGTGGCTGGCCTGTGAGGAAAAATAAAGGACTAGTTTTAAAGGTTTCTTGACACAAAGGATTCATCACCAGCAGGGGACAGAGGCTGGCAGGGCCACAGCCTCGATCACAACCCTCAAGAGCTAATTAAGGGCCAGGCGGAAGCTTGGAAACAGATGTCAAACAGGAAGAGCAGACCATTCAAAGGCCTTTCCAGGGTGACTGGCTCGGATATTTGCTTTTCATGCTGATTACAGAACCCAATACAAGTGAACGGACAAATGAAATGTGGCGTACATATCCAAAAGACAGAGTATTATTCAGCTCCTCACTGTGGTATTTTTGTATCTAAACCTGAGCCCCTTCAAATATCTATCTCTCAGTAGTCCACATAACCACCCCACATGGTGGCTTGATTGTCCCATTTCATGACAAGGAAACTGGAACTTGGAGACATTACTTTATGTGTGTGTGTTGCCAGCCACAAAGCCAGACGATCAACTGCACTTCCAATCCAGGCCATCAGACTTCCAGTAACTCGGGGATAGGGGAGTTCAGAAGAGGGAAGGGGAAGGCCTTCCTGTAGGGGACATGGTTGGTGGTATGCATTTGGGCCGGCCCTTTGAGGACAAAATGCTTTGAAGAACAGATAAGGAATTCTAGGGGACAGTAAACACCAGAAGAAGGCTGGCTGCAGGTCTCCATAGGGCAGGAGGGTTAAGTCTGCAGGCAGCGGTCCAATGGGTTTCTCTTATAGATTACCTTTTTGGTCTTAGATTTTGAATTCTGCCAAACAAGACTGGCTGGACTACAATCTTTCAAAGCACTGGTTGATTTCTATACAAATAGGGTGGGTAAACCCCCCGTGGTGTTAAGTGACCTTGTAGGGGACTTTATGGTCTAGAAGGCAGGGCCATACTGAGATTGATAAGGAGCTTGCTTATAAGCAGTCAACCCAACAGAGGTTTTCAGAGACGCACAAGGAGGGTGAGCGAGATGACAGCCTCTTAAAAGAGCTGTTACCAGTGGAGGCAGGCATGACTCGGCTGACAGCTGCAGTGATGCCTGTTGGCTGCAGCAAGCTAGATAAAGGTAAAGGCCCAGTAGCATCGCTCTGCCTGGAATTCGGTGCAGGCCCCCAGACACCATGCTCAACCGAGAGGAGGGCCTGCTCGAATAGAATCCCGTCTCCTGAGTTGTATCCAGTTCCTTTCTAATTGATCCTGTCACTTTTTAATAAACCACTTAATACTTGTACAGTGCATGAGTTCTGTGAGACCTGGCAGAGGATTACCAAACCCAATGCGGGGAGAAGTGCTGAGGGGCGGGGGGGTGAAGCAAGGGCTAGAGATGATGTGGCAGCCTGGAAAGCTGGAAGTCGGGGCACCTTTAACCTCCACCTCACAGGGATTAGCCTTGTGCTGATTCTTAAGAAACAACTGATGAGAAAGGCAAGTGGTAAAGGTTAGAAAGGCAGGCACACAGCACACAGCCACCGATCTCAGCAGCTTTACAACCATCACATTTATGATTTATCTACTTCACAAACCACGTAATCTTTTCTTTAAATCACCTGATTTTAGCCTAAATAATTTTCTTTAAGAAGAACCCCTCACTTTATAACTGTAAACCTTGTCATTAGATCCCAGAAACAAATGCAACTACTCTGTGAGAAAAGACCAGGCCACATGCTTCTTGTCAAGACTACAGCCTTAAATTGCCCCCACGAACAACTTCCTCCCTTGCCAGAAGATGACAAGAACTCTGTGATGCCGGGCTCCCATTACTGAACATTTCAATCAGAGTCTAGTCATGAATCCATATCAAAAAGGAGGCTATGCAGAATGGAAGTTCAAACACTTGTTGAAGCCACAGTCAGGGGGGCTAGGTGACCACCTGAAACCACTGTCCATTTAAGTAATCTTTAAAATGTAAACAAAAACATCCCCTGAAGTCATTTTAAAACCAAACAATAGCTTAGCTTAACTACAGCAAGCTCTTTAAGAACTAAAACTCTCTAACAGGGAGGGCCTCTATGAGTCGGAACCAACTCAAGGGCACTTAACAACAACATCTATGAGATCAATGTGACAACAGAAGAACCTCAGGAGGCTGAGAATGGCTGTACAACTCCAAGAACACAATCAATGTCAGTATGGAGACTTGGCTGATGTGTGTTTTGCTCTATACATTTGCAACAATAAAATTCCAGCTCTGGAAATCCTACGGGGCAGTTCGACTCGGACCTACTGGGTAGCTATGAGTTGGACTTGACTGACATGGGCTTGGATGAACCAAGGGTTCTGGGAGGCACAAAAGGTGAGTTATTACTTTAGAGGAACTTTGTTTCTATTTTTGTTGTTGTTGCTAAATACTATGGAGTCAATTCCATCTCACAGTGACCCTGTATAGGGTTTCTGAGGAGCAATTGGTGGGTTTGAACCACCCATCGTGAGTAGAAAACCTATCTTTTATCCTGCAGAGTGGCTGCTGGATTCAAAGCGCCACCTTCTGACTCGCAGTCCAGTGCTTATCCTATGGAGCCACTGGGCTCCTAAGTTGTTTGTTTGGTGTTGGTGTTAAGTGCTGTCAAGTTGGTTCCAACAACTCCAGGAAGGAGTTTCTACGGAGTGGCAGGTAGGTCTGAACCACTGCTGTTCAAATCAACCTTGTGGTCCAATGCATTACCTTGTAGTGCCAATCCAGAACTCCTGTTTCTATCTGTTGTTGTTGTTACGTGCCGTCGAGTCAGTTCTGACTCATAGCGACCCTGTATAGGGTTTCCAAGGAGTGGCTGGTGGGTTTGAACCATCCACCTTTTGGTTATCAGTCCAGCACATTCCTATAGTGCTGAAGTTAATGAAACAATCTACAGGATCAAAGAAGCACCAGAGATCAGAGAGGGCGCTACTACCACCAAGAAAGAAGATGCAGGGATAGAGTGTGTCCTTTGGACCCACGGTCCCTGCTCTGGGAAGCTCCTTGAGCCAGGAGACAGAGGGGAAAGGCCTTCCTGCTGAACTCAGACTTCAAGTCGTCTCCTCATCTGTGAGAAGAGAAACTTGTCAAGCCATGCACTGGTGGTGTTTCTGTTAAAGCAGCACTAGAGAACTAAGACAGAAAACCCAAGTCTCCATCCTCTTGTGAGATGTTAAGCAAACCTTAAGCTTTACCTCAGACCTCTCTGATCTGACCTTGCTCTTCCCCACACCTACCTCTGGGCCTTTGTGACTGCTCTGCGCCCCCAGATAACCTCATGATTCTTCTTCCCCTCTCTAGTAGTGGCCCTGTGGACAGAGAGCTACTTAACAGGGTGAGAGGAGAACCAGGTGGATGTTGAGGGATTCAGAACAGACAGATACTTGGAAGTCATGGTTGGGTACATCAACATTACACCCAGGAATCGAACTTGCCAATCAGAAAAGCAGAGACAATTGCAAATAACCACTAGCTGGTGTGTGTGTGTGTGGGGGGGGGGGGGGAGGCAGTAGGGCAAAATACAAGGTTAAGTCAAAGAACATTGCTACTAGGAGTCCAATGCATCATGGTGGTGGCGGTAGCAACTCGTTTCTGACTCAGAGCGACTCTGGATAGGGTTTCTGAGGCTGTCAATCCTTATGGGAGCAAAAAGCCACATCCTTCTCCCACAAAGTGACAGGGAGACTCAAACCTCTGACCTTATGGTTAGTAGCCTAGCTCATAATCCCCTATGTTACCAGAGCTCCTTAGTTCATACATACATGGGTTTATTACAAACAAAACATATTTAAATGTCTTTGCAACCAATGGATGGCTGCAGACAAGTTTTAAACTTGTTTTAGACTCATTGGGGTGCCTTCAAAAAGCTTCTGAGGGAGTGTGCTGGACCAGTTAAATTCAAGGCCAAGGCGTCAGCTTAGAAGGTTATGTAACTGTTTGTTTGTTTTTTTAATAATTTGATAGATTTTTTTTTGAAAGCACAGGATGATCATGGAGACTTTTTATAAAAACAAAACAAAAAAAAACTTTAAGAAAACAGAAAAGTTCACTGATGAGGAAAAGGCCAGGAAAGCTAGACCAAGCAATCCCCCCTCCCCCACCACATCACAACAATGTCTGTGTTCATGTGAGACCAAGAGTGTCCTCTGAGAATTTAGTTGGGGAGCCCTGCACACCTGATCTTTCCCCTTCAGATGCTATTTGTCTCCCCAAATTTAAAGAACATTAAAAAAGAACATGATCTTAGTCCCTTAAGGATGTTAAGGGTTTCTGAGGAGATGGTGTGTTTGAACTTCCAACCTTTTGGTTAACAGTCCAATGCTTATACTGCAGCTCTATATGCCATGACTGCACTGGTGTTCACTACGTCAGGGTCCATGTGTGGGGTTTCAGGATAAGCACTGGACCCCTAACTGAAAAGTCTGTTTCAAACTCACCAGCTGCTCCTCAGAAACCCTATACAGGGTCACTTGAGTCAGAACTGACTCCATGGCACTTACAACATTCACAATGTCTGCTTTCCTGTTAGCTTTCAACTGGCAGTGTGAGCTTTGATAAAAGCATCTATTCTCTGAGTCACCTCAGTGAAAGGAAGAGTTGGCCTGGCCTAGATGTAGAGTAATTAATCTTCTCAGCAACTCGCTGCGCCAAGACTTAACATTCCCATTTCAGATGAAAACTGAGTAATTTCCCAAGGTCGGACTTTCAGAGACTAGCAAAATCAGGGTTGGAACTGGAGTCTGATGTCAAAGCTCCTAATCCTTAACTAGTGTGCTACACATTAATACAC